GCCACCTGCACCAGTGCACTTCCCCTGTACCTCCACCTCCACCTCCGTATAGGGCTGTCAGCACTACTGACTTGGCTGGATGATGCTTTGTTCTGGGGGGCCATCCTGCGCATTATAGGATGTTTAGCAGCATCCTTGGCTTCCACCACTAGATGTCAGTAGTCTCCTCAAGGGGGACAATTAAATTTGTAGGCTGTCAAATGACCCCTGGGGGGCAAAGTCGCCTAGTTGAGAACACTGTTCTGCTACATCACCACCACTCTCTGCTGTGCACAGCGGAAACCACCTGTGTAACCCCAGCCCCTTCCCACACCTGCCTCTCTCCAGGTCCCACCTCGTACCCAGCACAGTGCCAGCCATCCTGACCTGAGCTTCTTCCTTGAGTGATCAGTAGGGGGCAGCAGTGGCCTACGGGTCTCTGGGTCCAGGGCAGTTTCTAATCTGGGAGGTGGGATACCTGGGCCCAGGACCAAGCCAAGTCAGTTTTGCACATGTGCTTTCAGTGCCTCAGTTTCCCCTTTCTCAAAGCTGAAGGAAATGGCTGGCTTCCTTCCTGGCTCCCCTCCCCCCCCTCCCTGACTTTGATAGTTGCCAAGCACCCAAGGACCTTGCACTCCTTTCCCAGGTGGGGCAGTGCCATCAGTGCTGAAGGGGAAAGGCTGGGTCCCTGCCAAGAGGATGTTTAGTGGCGTGGAGCTGGGGGGTAGGGAGGAGGGACAAAGTTCTCTGGGAGCATTTTCTCACTCCCAGCCATTCCCTCTGGAGTTCCCGCCCTCTTCACCTACCCCATATCCTATTCCCTCCCACCCGTCCATCTACCCACCTCCACCTGGGCAGACCAGCTCTGGTAGACAAAGGGTAGATTATTAAAGGGCCTGTGAGAACATGGGCCGGAAGGCTGCAGGCTAGGGGTGCACAGCTTGCAGGTGACTAAATGGCAGGACCCCTCTCAGGACTAGAACCAGCCTTGGAGGTCAGCCAGCTCTGGACTCAAACACAAGTCAGGATTCCAACCTGTGTGCCTCGGCGTACATTAATGCTTATGCCTGCAGTTTCCCCGGTTCTCTAAAAATAGGTTACTAACACCCCCAACAGCAGAACTATTGTAAACAGCCCTAAAATGGCGCAGTGAAGTACCCAGCACCACACCCGGAACCAAGATGCCCCTCAGCATGGGCAGCTGCACTCTGCCCTTCCCCCAAGCCCACTCTTGCCTCTTCATCTCTCATGCACACTCATGCTCTCTCTCAGGTCAGGAGCAGCAGTTCAAGGGCAGGCTCACAGCAAAGGCCCTTCCTCACGGTGTGGCTGGGAGGTATGTGAGGTGGGATGACCAGGGCTGCTGAGCTGGCTGCTCCCGTGTCCCTTCTGGCCACTCAGCATTCTGGGCTCCTGGCCCAGTTCATACTAGCTTTTATAGTTTTGTGGGGTTTTTTGGGGGAGGGGGGAGATGGGGGCACTTGCCTTGTTAAGTCCTAGAGAAAGTGATGAAAGGATGAAGCCTCTGCAACTGCTCTGGGAGATTCTGGAAACAGTGGGGACACAAGAGACCCACCTGGACCCCCTAACTGCTCAGAGCATCTCTGACATTCCTGGGGGATTTGGTGTGGCCCTGCTCTAACCCAGTGTTGGCCTCTGTTCCTTCCCCTACCTCCGGCACCTGCAGGAGGGGACCTGGAAGAGTGAGAAGGCTCCGGGAGAACCCAGTGAGGCTGTGGGAATGGCACTGCAGAGGGTTCCTGGACATGATCCCCTCTTGGTTTTTGGTATGGGGCCGACTGAAGGGAGACTCCCCTAGGGAATAATGGGGGGCTACTCATAGGGTGAGCAGGAAACAGGAAGATGCTACAGCTACCAGGGAGAATCTTTCTCGGCCAAAAGAGCTGTAGGCTCTAGCTCACCAAGAACTGAAAAAATACACCCCCAGGAACCTTGAACACACATGCACACCCTCTCACCTGCTCACATTAGACCAGGGGTCCTCAAACTACGGCCCGCGGGCCACATGCAAATACAAATATTGTATTTGTTCCCGTTTTGTTTTTTTACTTCAAAATAAGATGTGCAGTGTGCATAGGAATTTGTTCATAGTTTTTTTTTAAACTATAGTCCGGCCCTCCAACGGTCTGAGGGACAGTGAACTGGCCCCCTGTTTAAAAAGTTTGAGGACCCCTGCCTTAGACACTCAGGACTCCTTAAAACAGTCCTTTCCCATTCGCCACGGCTTTGGCGTCTCCGTGGGAGCCTATGAGGCTACGGAGATCGTCTCAACTCCCAAGAATCCAAGATGGGGCCTCCTCTTCACCCCACAAACCCCAGCACTCCCAACCCAACACTAACATGCTAACATTGTTTGAGTGCATACAGATGCTAACATCATGTTAACATTTTTCACCTTTTATTTCTTAAAGTCCCCACAACTATTAGGATTCTAATTTTACAGATGGGTCAAATAAAGCTCATTTTACCACCTGCGCAAGGCACAGAGCTAGGACACAGCAGGCGCTGGCCTGGCCGTCTAATCCTGGTGCCTGCACTTGTCACCACTGAGACCAAGTGGCACATGAGGGCAGGGGGCCACGTGTGACCAGGTCACCGCTGCAGTTCTAGACAGGCAGCTCCCCCCAGCAATCCCTTCTGCAGGAGCCCTTCTGAGCTTGGTCAGGCCTCTCTCATCTGTACGGCACCCAAGGCCAGACCCAGGCAGCACCCAAACTCCCAGAGCTCTCTCCAACCTCCCACTCTCCCTCTGCTCCCTTCACCCTCCACCTTGTACCGGAGAGGGCCAGCATGGACGGGAACTCCCAGCAGTTGTGGACTCCCAAGGAGTCGGTTGCGCAGCTGTACCAGAGGTTCTCGAAGATGGTGTTGGTGGTGATGACATTCCCATGCACAGTGGATACTCTCCAGTAGCTGTTTGGCAAAGTCACACCCAGCATCAGCAGTCCCACAGCTGCCATGAAGAAGCCAAAGGTCTCCACAGCCACTGACATGGTGGGACGCAGGCCCTGAGGGGCACCTGTGGCCCCAGAGGGAGAAGGGCTGAGCCCCAGGGGACCTTGACGGGCGTTGGCTAGGGAGAGGTGTTAGGGCAGGGTGGGAAGAGAGAGAGGGGAAGGGCGGAAGGCCAGCGGCAGCCTCGGCCTCAGGTCTGTCTCCAGGTTTCTGCCTTCCTTCTCTCTTTCTGGGTTTCTGCTTCCCTGCAGGCCAGCAGCCAGAAGAATGAGCCAAGAGCCCGTGGCAGATGTTGATGAGATGTAAGGAATAAACGAAACGGGCCAAAAGTCCACTGCCTCTGGCTGCCCTGGGTTCCCCGCCCCACAGGGTGTGGGGGGGGACTTACCGGGGAGTGACTAACGGATGCAGCCAAGGAGGGGCCCCCACGGGAGGCATTGGGAGCCAAGGGGAAGCGTGTCTCTGACTCAGCTTTCATCAGGGGCCAGAGAATGGAATAAGAGGGACAAGAAGAGACAGAGACAGTGACCACGGACAGGCACGGCAGCCTTCAACAGGGAAAGAACAGGGAGCAAAGGCACTACCTGTTGCTGTTGGTGAGAACAATTCAGGAAACTGGAAGACCTAAGGGTTGGGGCATTGAGTCTTCCAGGAAGATTAAGGTTGAAGAAGGGAACAGGGTCTGTGGGGGAAACCAATGGCTCTGGAGTCCAACCAACCTAGATTGGCACCAGATCCCATCATTTACCAAAGTGACACAGAAAAAGTTGGAGCCCCATGGGTTCACTTCTGCTTCTGTGAACTAAAGCTCCTCCTCCTCTACAATCTCATAGGTTGTAGTAAGAATTGTGACCACAGATCCAAGCTGCCCACACGTATGAATTACTCGATACTTGACTGTCCTGGGTTTCGGTCCTGCAGACCCAGCGTGAAGCCATCAGAGGTTGCTTTCCTGCAAACTTCAACTTCCTGAACTTGATTTCTCCCATTTGGTGGGTTGGTCTTTGACCCTCAGCAACAAGCTTGATCTTGCTGCCAACGGTCCCAGAGCAGGGATGAATCTCAGGCTTAGGTGATCCCATGGCTAATCTACGCAGCTCATTGTTATCAGAACTGTCAGCAGCTCTGCTAATTATGATGGATTAGAAACCTCTGGGTTCCCACCCCAAGCTGAGCACCTGTCCTGGTGTAGCCAGTCTCATTTCCTGCTTCAAGGACACAGCAGGGCAGCCCTGGTTCTCTTCTGGCAAGTGTGCTGGGGCTCAGTCTCCAAGGGGCTGACCCTACTACACCCAGGCAATCGCACAACACATCGCTGAGCCAAAGTGTAAGCTCCCATTCCCCTCCTCCCCACCTCAGGCTCCTGTGCTCCCCGCAGGGGCCTCCTCCCCAATCGATCCCCCAGCTGGGCTGGCTTGGCTGTGGAATGAGAGGTATGCAGTGAAGCAAGACAGGCCCAAGCTGAGCCTGGCACAAGGTGGGTGTGGGGCAAAGCAGGCTGGGTGGGGACTGGGTCCCCACCTTCCACTCGGAGGCTACAACTGGGGTGTCCTGGGTTCCTAACCTCTTTTAAAATTCCTGCCAACTCCATGCCAAATGCCTGTTTCCTCCCCACCATCTCCCTCCCCGCCCCCAACATCACCCCTCTCCTAAGGAGACTAGGGTAGGAGGAAGGGGAGGAAGCAGGAAGACAAAGGGAGGGGAAGGGCGGAGGTTTTGGAGGAAACTGAGTGGGGGGGCCCCCTGGTGTGGAAAACTCCACGTGCTAAAAGGCAGCTGAGTGGGTCAGAGGAGACAGGAGACATAAATCCAAACCTGTCCCACCTCCTGTCACTTTCTCTCAGGATCCGAGGGCTGTGTGGAGGCCACGTGGCTTTGGTGGGGTTGAGGGAGGAAGGGCGTGGGATCTGGGCAGCTCTGCAAACAAAGGAGAACCCCATACCAGCACGGAGGTAATAGAAGAACAAAGAGCAGGAAAGGAGCACGTGTTACCCCAACTTCTGGGCCCAAGGGAACCTGCCCTTTTTTCAACACAGACACAGAGGTTCGCAAGTCAAAGCCCAATTTTATTTACACTCATCCTAAAGCACACGATCTGGGGCTAGAGGACAGATCTTGGGGAGAGGAGGTTGAGGCCACAGAGGACAGTGACAGGGTGCAGGAGAAGACAGGGACGCAGCGAGAACAGATGGGCCCCTCTCTGAGTGATCTCCATGGGCTCCCATGTATCCCTGGGCAGAGGCAGAGGTGCAGTCTCATTCAGGATTTGGACTTGGATACAGCAAGTCCGATGAGTCCAGCCAGTCCCGCCACACCCAGGGCCATGCCTCCAACAATGGCCATGCCCACCAGTCCATCTGGGGAGAAGAAAAGGGAAATTGTCAGGAGCTGAGCCCCCGCCCACTAGGACCCTGGCTACTATCTTCTTCCTGCCCACTGCTCCTCAACAGCTATGCCTCTCCACCTGGATGCATGGGGTGAGGGACTCCAAGGGTTGGACAAAAGCTTCTGGGGTTTTGAGGAGGAATTGCTGGGAGGGGGAGTCATTTAAAGAGCGATCAGAGGGCCCAGGCATGGGGTGGGGAGAGAGAAAGAGGACTACACTAATAGTTAGGACCTAGGGATGATGGGGGCCAGCGAGATAGGAGAGTCGAGAGTGGAGAAAGCAGAGGGGAAGGCGTTCACCTTTCTTCATGGCCTTGTCAATGAGCCGTTCCAGTTCTTTGGCCTGGTTGTTCTGGGGTTCTGTCTGCAGCAGCCCTCGCACATACTTTAGGGCCTTTTCATATTCCTACACTCGGAAAACACACATACACCCCTCAGTATTTCAGCACTCCTGCCCATCAGAGGGGCCTTCCCTTCACTTGCTCTGGGGGCTCCTCCTTCTACCTCCACCCCCTTCCCTCACTCCAGCCCCACCCAATGGAGTAGAGTCCACAAACAACCCCAACTGTGTGGGGATGATAAGCTAGGGGAGATAACAACCCAAGGCCCGGGGCTGCACCCCAATCCTGACGTCACCTTTTCCCCACACCCTCAGCACCCTGATCCTCTGTCTCTCACCTTCCCTCAGCATCCTGACCTGCTGTCACGTTGCACCTCTGTACCCGATACCACCCCCTGCCTACTGCCCTCTTTAGGCTCTACCTTGAAGAGAAAGGAGAGGGTGGGCTATGGCCCATCCAAGTAGGATGGAGTGGAAAGGGAGCTCTCTGCCTTACCTTGAGCCGGTAGTTCCCCACAGCCAGGTAGAAGACATAATCCCGCTGCTCCTCTTTGCTCCCTTTGAGCAATAGCTCTGGGGAGGAGGGAAGAGGAAAGGATGAAAACCACTTCTCTCTTTTCCTAGTACTTGTGTCTGAGACCCTTTCTACTCTCTGAATTCCTATACAATCCTGGGGAAAAGTCCTGAGCCTCTGTTTCAGCTCAAGTCACATTTGGTTTCTAGTCAGACCTATGGGCAGCATGAACCCAGGCTGCCCGAACACCCTAGTGATCAACACTCTGGTACGAATACTACAGTCAATCCTGGTTCATCCAAGTAAACTGAAAGGAAATCAAGGCACTGGAAAAGCCAAGAGGCATCTCTACTCAGTTTTGACATCTGTTGTTTCAACTACAGTTTCTAGTTGCCCAAATAAGTGTTAAAAATAAGTTTGTACTCCCCACCCCACCCCCCTTTTAAAAAATCAGCTGAAAACTCACCTTCAATTAGCCTTTTCTGAATACCACCACCTGACACTTAATTCAGTGACTTCCCAGAGGCTTATGTGTTCAATTGTACTCTAAGCACTAGAATTTGTTGCTAAGTAGTTTTGTGGGTGTTGATAAATCTTCCCAAGTGTTTGTACTATCTCCTCAACTAGACTGGCAACCTCTTAGAGACCACTTCTTCTACAGCTGTGCCCTGTTGTAGAGGAAACCTTAAAAAAAATCTGAATTGGCAAATCAGACAAATGTAGGGTAAGATTATTTGCACTAAGAATTTTTATAGATTTATAATAGGCATTCTTTGCTAGTACACTGACTATTTTCTTATTTACAATTACTTGACCAAGACAAAGGGAGTTCAAAGAAATTTAAAGGTCAAATACTGTGGCCTCTGACGAATGGTGACCCATCCCAAAACAATGGGAAATAAGATTCCAATCAAAAAAGCATCATTTGCTCACAGGTTTTTGGGACCGTCTTCTGCACCTCTTCCATGCCACCCTCACAAAAGGTTTCAACAGCTGCTGAATAAGCGACATGGGGGGCAAAGAGCACAGGACTGAGACACAAGAGACAGGAGCCTCTAGTCCTAATTCAGCCATTAATAGCTGTAGGACTTCAGACAAGTCACTTTCTTTATGGTTAGATTACCAGATCACCAAAGTCCTGTGGAAACTGACATGCTCTGACTGTTTGGCAAAACAATGAGGTGTTAATTAGCCCAAAGTACACTGGAAGCCAGGCTAATGTGTATAGTCCTTTGTTACAGTGAGTTTACTGTAAAATAACTGTTAGGTGTCTGTAATACAGGGTCCCATGTTGAAAAAGAATCCCACCACTTGAGATGGAGGGAGGGAATGACCAATGGCAGGAGAGAGGGGAAGACCCTGATTGCAGTTGGGAAGGGGAGTAGGGTAGCCTGGCACCTCACCCTCCAGCAGTGCAATGCCTTTACGGATGTCATCGTTGTACTTGCTTCGCACCAAGCACCAGGCATACTCAAACTGCGTGCTCTTGGACACCGAGCCTGCTGCCTTCTCAGACTGAAATTTCTTTTCAAACTTCTGCCATAGGAGAGGAGAGGAGTCATTTAGAAACGAAGAGGGCAAACCATTCTCTATCAGGACCCTGTGTCCATTTCCCAGTTACACTCCATCTTTCCCAGTCTCTGCCATATTTCCCTTGCGGGTCTTCATACCTGGCCCCACAAGTTCTATCTCCATCTCTGGGACCCAGGCTTTCAGTTTCTTGTGGGCGGCATGTCTCTGGACAGTCTCCCAC